GTAGCTTTCTTCTTCTTCTTCCTCGCCGTTACTTAATATCTCCGCTTTCATTCTCTCTATACCATCGACGTTCGTCTCTTCATATTTTTCCTCATTACTGCATCCAGGTTCATCCATAAACTCCTACTCGCGTGCGAATTCACAACACCTTTTCTTCCTAAATCCCAAAGATGGCGTCCGAACTAGAGATGGTTGCAATAACACCCTTCCATCGCAAGTAATGGTTTTTACCTTCACGACCTCGCCTTGACTCTCCCCCTTCAATCTTATTTCTTCGTCCCTTTTATCTAATTCTCGGTTGTAGATAAGTTCGTACTTGCGAACTCCCGTCCCTTCACCTGGAGTAATTCGCGTCATGTGTCCTAACGCTAATTCGATGGAGAGTTTGTATTCGTACAAAAAATCAGCTCCTAATATACCCGGACTAACTAACTGAGGGCTTATCAAGAACTTATTTTCGAATTCGTCTTCATTAATTGTGAATGAAATCAATGCTTGCCTCTTCACTCGGGACGTCTTATTTCCAAAAGCGCTCATCAGAACGACAGATTGCACTGGCAGCTCCATGATTGGTCCTTGCAATTTTAATTGACGAAAGGTGTCGTCTGACAGCACACACACCTGCGAACCGGTATCCAAGATCATTTCCACGTGGATATCTCCAAACGTTATCTTAATCTTAGGACACGCCGCTAACTTGCCCGCGTTAATCATATACATGGCCGCATTATCGTCCGGTTCGATGACATGGTGTTGGGTACTTGGCGGTTGCGGACAGTGATTGTTAGGCGCGTCGGGGTTAATTTCATCAATCTCGGCCCTAGTTATTGTGCCCTTAGGCGCAGTTTCGGCCGCAACGGCGCCTAATCTCGGTTTCCCGCCGGCCTTTCCTGATCATTCCTAGTCTGGTTAGCAGTTACCGTGGCGTCGTTCGAAGCGGCTGACTCCCCTCTGTCCCCGTTTCGGTCTGACATCGGGTGGCGGTGATTTCCGCGCTGGTCGCCATGTGTTCTCCATTCTCGATGATGGTTGTAGTTGCGGTGATCACGTGATGTATCCGGTCTCCTGTGGTAACGATTGTCATTCCACATGGTCTCCCGACTCCAGCCTCCTCTATCCTCATCACGTGGATCTCGGCGAAATGACCGAGGATTGCTCTGCTGGTTATGACGCACCTGTCCCCTTGGTTCGAAATCCACCTGATCGTTTTCGAGGTCTGCGACGTCAGAAAGTAATGCCGCCGCCTCCTGAAGAGTTTGAGGTTTTGCTACTACCCAGGCCTTCTTTAACCCGAAGGGAAAATGTTCTTTGAGGGCATTCAAGAATTCTAGGTTGGACATCGGAGGTTCTAGGTATTTAGCTTTCACAGCGTACTTCATAAGATGGTCACAGTAGTTCGCTGCGCCTCGCGGGTCGTATCTATTCTGATAGATCTGGAGTCGAACCCTTGCCTGATATGAGAGGCTCCAGAGAATTTGTCCAGGAAAGCTCTGCGGAATCCCTCAAACGTTTTAATTTGATCCCAATTAGCATCAGCCCACGTCATCACTGAAATGCCTTTTAAAGATTGCCGCGCTACATCTAACTGAAGCGGTGGAGGAATTTTCTTAATTTGTATGTATTCGCCTAAGGAATTCAAATGCGCCTGGGCGTTTTGATCCGGTTTGTTTTCGAATATTGGTAATGTGAGATCTACGGAGTCACTGAGGATCCCTCTGACAAATTCTCCAGGGTTGCCACTCCATACTTTCTCCTGACTATTGACGTCATTGTAAGGATTAGAACCATTACATGAAACTTCATTACTTATTGGTTCATTAACATGAGTAATCATGATGTCTGAGCTTGAGAGGGTCTTTTCAATCCTAGAATCCGATTGGCGGTAGTAATCCCCATACATTGAACTTCTTCACAATTATTCTTACTTTCTACTCGTTTCTGATTTTTCATTATCTCAACTTGGGTCCTCAATTCATCATATTGCTTACTGACAACATCATACTGCTTGCTTATATGTCCGCTAGCCTGTTCAATTTCCGCCACTCGTTTCTCGCATTGATTTACCCTCTCACACCTGTTCTCAGACTGCTTAGCCTGCTGAGCGTGAGATGCGTCCACTTCCTGTCTCAAGATTTCAAAAATTGTTAGTAGTTTCAATTTTATCATTCTGCACTTTCTCGGTCAGTGCTCGAAACTGTCCGTTGGTACTCTCTGTTATTAGGCTAATTTCCCTATTCATTGCTTCCATCTTCCGATCTGTCCTCAGTTCTACGTCACTCGCGATCTGATTCATGGATGACAGCATCTCGCGCTTGTGTACCACAAATATGTTCTCCAACCTTTCATTAAATTCTTTTGCTCTCCTTTCACCCTCCTTCCTAAATTCCTCTCTAATCTCCCGGAACATCTCCTCCATTCTTTTATTGCTCTCCTTCCTATTCTCCCGAAACATCTCCTTCATACACGACATTATCGCTTGCATATCTATTTGGTCGTCTTTACCCTTTCTGTCAGCACTCGTCAGTTGTTCTCCCGTACTCTCACTTATTCCACCTGTGTCCCCTTCTGTCGGTTGATCACACTGCATGTCCATTTCTCCTTCTGAATCTCCCCCACTCTCACCTATAATTACGCCTTCTAACTGCGTCGTCTCCTCATCCATCATTTCACCTTCTTCACTATTGTCTCCGATTAACATTTTGTTTCTCAAATATCTGCGAGTAATCATACCTTCCATGATTATTAACAATCCTAGTCTGTCTCTGTCACTTTCACTTTCCACCAACCTGACCTGAAGATCGCCGGGGTTGATGCTCCTCTAGATGAATCGGTTTGTTCTCAAGATGCAAGTCTTCCGATCTGTTACCTGGTTCGTCCTTTTCACCGCAGCGTCGCTCGATGTCACTTTTCTTGTCCAGCCGCCGCTATCTTGAACTCCTGGATTCGAAGCACCGATCCACTCCTGAGTTCGAAGCACCGATCCTTATCGAGCTGCACATGGTTAAGAGTCCTTTGTTTATATGCGGCCGCTACAATTCGGGCCCCACGATGGGCGCCATCGCTACACCCGCCCCACACTCTTCACTTCCACGCGGTGTATGCCTCGACTAAATTCAGCGGAATGAGTCTTATATCTCAGGGGTACACGGGCGTTGGCTCGCTTACGTCGTTTTTTGGATGCGGGCTCGATCGGTTAACCCCCTAGCACAGGTTCCACATGAACACCCTCACTCCCTGGCTTCTACTCACTAACTGACTCCTTACCCCCGCTGCTGCTTCCAGAAACCACGTTCTAGCCATCTCGAACTTTCCACTGGGAGGTTTTCATGACCAAATACACGGACCCCTTCCGGTCTGCACACCTTCTAGAAGTTTCTCGAAGCTTCGATCCGCAGGTCCTCCACCCCCACAGGCACGGACGAAAGAAGGTATACCTACTCCCCCTTGAATGCAATGGACTCACCAACCTCCCTTCTGTCCCTCGCAACAAAAGGCCAATTCGGAGGACCATGATCCCTGCGGGGCATCTCATTTCTACAGCTAAACTTAACCGTTACTTACAAACAAATAAGACTTTATGCGTACGGTTACAACGCTTAGGCGAGAGCATTGCCCACAAGTAAGACTGTATAATAACAATATCCCACAGTCTCCAAGCGTTAAATATCTCGGAATCCATATGGATAGTAGACTCACTTGGAAAGATCACGTAATCAAAAAACGCAAACAGATAGACCTAAAAACGAAGGAGCTAAACTGGTTAATTGGAAGGAGATCCAACCTATCCATAGAAAAGAAAGTCCTGCTCTATAAGACAATAATCAAACCAATCTGGGCTTACGGAATTGAGCTCTGGGGTTGTGCCAGCAAATCAAATATATCAATAATCCAGAGAAGCCAATCAAGAATACTTCGAATTATAATGCACCCTGGTATGTAAACAACCAAACGTTACATACAGACCTAAATATACCATACATCAAGGACGTTATCAGAGGGAAATGTACCTCACGCCACAACAAACTAGCAAATCACCCAAACGACATCCAACAGCCACTCGTTGAACCGCAGCACAATCGAAGACTCCGAAGACACTGGCCAGCTGACCTAAAAGAAAACTAATGAGGAACCTCCCACTGGGGAAGGGACTCACCACGTCATTAAAGAGCATCACAGCTCTTAGCCAACAAACTAGCTTATAGAATTCTAGATTCTAATTGCTTAATAAATGAATAAATAAAAAAAATGTGAGAAATGAAGAAGTGTTATTTAGAGTCAGTGAGCAGAGGAATATCCTACACGAAATAAGAAAACGGAAGGCTAATTGGATTGGTCATATCTTACTCGGAAACTGCCATCTAAAGAAGTTATTGAAGGAAAGATAGAGGGGCGGATAGAAGTGAGCAGAAGACGATGAAGAAGACGTAAGAAGACGCTGTATGACCTTGGGGACAGAAGAGGATCTTTTCATTTGAAGGAGGAAGCTCTAGATCGCATCAAGTGGAGGAACTGTTTTGGAAGAGACTGTGGACCTGTCGTCTGACAGATTACTGATGAATGAATGAATGGACCTTGGTGTTTACGGCTACTACTGAAGGGCTAGTACTTATCATTTCGTTGGTAAGTGACTTTTAAGTATTGCAGCATCCCGTTGGACTGTGTAGATCTGACTCTGCATTCCGCTACTTACCGTCTATAAGCGTCTTCGGTTAATATTCTCCATTAACCAGACACGTGTATGACAACAGCACAAGAACTCATATAACGTAGGCACGTGAGAGGCATTTACAAAATGAAAGTCAGAACAACATTACACTTAGCAGAAGATTGCTGCGTCGGAGAAACCTGTACGCCTGATGGTGGCCGGTTTGGCAGAAACTTGTAGTGACAATGAAGAGATGAATATAAGTGAATATTAATCGAAGATTCACATAGATGGCAAGAAGTGGAACACAAATTCAGGTTGTGGTCAGTTCAGAATTGTAATGAACAGTTCTCACCTGTCTCTGTCCTCTTCTTCGCTCCTCAACGAAAAATCTGCCAATTCTGTAAAACAAGAAATTGTGCTACCATTAAAAATAGGATATTTAGTATTCCGGAAGACATTTTTTCAAAAACCTGTAAAAGTCACGGAAACCGGGGAACACTTGGGTTGTAATTTGGGGCCTTATAATTGAAATGACAAAATATCAATGCCCGTCGGATTAGAATAAAGAATTCTGGCAGAACTTCACTGATTTTGAAGTGTGATAAACAATTTATTCGAGACGATTCCACAGAGATTCAACGTGATTTAATATTATCGAATAATCTGTGTCCAGATGTTACTTATAATAGAAATGCTGACTTAATGAGGAGAGCCTGGAAAAGTATCTCAGCAAAAAAACAAAAAAACAAAACATCAATATGTGTATCATCTCACAATCCGTCTTGTTCCTTCACATTTAAGTATACATTTTACTCGGTTTCTCACTGAATACTAATTATATTTCGGCTTCTGCCCTCATGCAGAGCCAAGAAAGTTAATATCTTAGAATTCATACTTACCACATATAAATGCAGGAAAATATTATCGTAAGTTTTAAAATATATTCTTGAATATTTATTTACATTTCACGTAGAAATAAATTGTAGACTTGAGAAGCAATTGCTGGGCCTACACAATCAGCCAGATGTGTGTATTGTTTGTCACGGGAAAGTGATACCGGCCTACTGGTCAGCATAGCGGCCTGTCATGCTGAAGAACGGCGTTCATTTCTCTGCAATACAGAACATTTATTTTAGCCGGGATAGCGCAGCCAGTATAGCGGCTGGCTATTGGCTGGAAGACCGAGGGGTCGGATTTCGAGTCCCAGTAGTGTCAAGAAATTTCTCTTCTTCACGTCGTCCTGACCGGCTCTGGGGTCCACCAAGTCTCATATACAATAGGCACCGGTGGCTCTTTCTCCGGGTTAAAGCGGCCGGGGCGTGAAGCTGACCACTCACCTCCAACTAGTGTCGGGGTCAATGAAATGTGGATCTATACAACCACTCCCCCATACGCCTTCATGGCGTAGTGCTTAATTAATTATTTATGCACAGGGACAGCTTTACCTGTTACCTTTACAGAATATTTATTTTATCGACAGTGAATATACCTAGCATGTAGAGCACTTGTCTCGCTTTCGGGAGATATTCATTTCGAATGTCAGACAAGAAAATGTCTGTCCGAATTCAAGTTTCCAGCAACCTAACCCATTTCTTCCGTAAATGATGGTATATATATATAAGTTTATATATATTACTATAAATTCTGCCTCGTTCCAACTCTCCTAAACTATCTCTAATATCATGAGATTGTTTTCAGTTCCATGTTGAACATACCAATGAAGCTGAAATCGAGTCACAGTAAGATATCCCTTGAGGGTTCTCATTAAAATTTTGAATGCAGTTCAATTTCCCAGTACATGGCACCTATCCCTTCCGCCTCGTCAGAATACATCATGTCTACTTCCTCTGGTTTCGGTTATCTAAAGAATCTGTCAAGTCTGAAGCCCTTCTTGGGGGTTTCTAAAATAATTGCCCCCTTATTCCTTTATGATGAGAGGTTTAGCCCCCGTGCTGAGTGTCCATAGCTGATTAGTGAGCATATTCATTTTCTTCTAGTGAGTACCTTTGTGGTCCTGGCCCAGGGTCCTGAGGGAGTTCCCCAGGAGTTCGAAGTGTGCTGTCATATGTACGATGATGACGAAGAACAGTGTATCCATGAGGGCCACGTTCCAGGAAATGACAATGCAAGATAACGTGTTGTACACGTATCCCAGTTCATAATAAGGGCTCTGTTTCGTATCGAAAGGGACCCATATCTTAATGGGCATATCTCTCCCGGCGTTTTCTGTTGTTCTTTTGGAGCACGACTGGAGCGTCAAACACAGAGCCCAGAGTGCCAAAAAGATGAAAGCATTTCTCTTGGCACTACGTAGATACCTACTAATCAGTAAACGCTCCTCAGGTGAGAGGATCTTATCATGGGTGAAGAAGTTCTCGCCAGCGTGCTTAATAATCTTCAGAATCTTCTTTCTGTGCACAAAGAGAGAGACAATTTTGACACAGTTCTTGGACTGGGTGATGAAGATCGCAAAACTCTCTGCGAATTCCTCCAAGTTGTTTCGAGTGAGGTAGGACTCCACTGCAACTCCCACAGACGCTATAATGAAGCAGGATACAGTGAGGGCCTTCGCGAGATTGTACATTACCACCCGCCAGGCACTGGTAATCACAGAGGCATCCAGCAACATCCCTCCACAACGTTGCAAGTGCAGAATCAGATCAAGAGGTCCTTCGTTTCTCAGGTCCTCAGGTAACTGCATCTCCTCTACTCAGAATCGGAGAATTCGGCAGAGAGGAGATAACTTCGGAGCACGGGCGTATGTTTGCAGTTGTGACTTCCGATTCCAAGAACAGTTAACACAGCTGGTGCTGTTTCCTGGTGCCGTAATTGAATTTGCGAATAATTCAGAATGGGGAATTCATATTTCTACTTCATAATGCACGCTCGAACATTTTTGACGCCTGACATCGATACCTTACATGATAGGGGTGCACAAACTTCATGTAGGTAGATGGTCATTTGGAAAAATATGAGATACTCCTGGGACAAAAGTCATAAGCGGTCAAATTAAAAGTTTAAAATAAATTTCAAATAAAAGAGATATTCAGGCAAGGTGCAAGAGTTCACACTTTAAGAATGCGGTGTATGTGTTACTTAACGACGCTACCAATGTCGAGGTTATGTAACTTCAATGATAGGATGATTAATGTGGAGCAGTTTGTGGAGTGAGAACTGGCAGGGGAAACCAAAATACGTGGAGAAAACCAGCCTCAGTGCCGCTTTATCCACCATAAATCCCACGTTGCCTAATCTGGGATTGAACTCGGGCCGTCGTGGTTTTCTGAAAATGTCGAATTTGTCGATTTAGACTACAACGTGCAAATTCGGGTTCACTTCCCTGCAAGCGCTCTAAACGAGGCGAAAGCGAGAAAAAAGCTCTCAAACTTTTATGTGGATTCCATAAACAGAAGCCGCTGCTCTCAGGAACACATTACATTATTCACTGCAATTCGAGGGGCAGGACAAGGAGTCCCATATAATGACAGAGGAAGTTACATGTCTCTGGAATATCTTACTCCTCTATGCCAGTGGTAATTATATCTATCACGTGACGCCGCTACACGTAACAGCGATTGATTCATTATTTAGGGTAGACCCATGCACGCCGAAGGTGGATAACTCGTCTCAGAGACTNGGGTCCGAGGTGTTTTAAGTGGAGGCCTGAGTGTCCAGGTTACTGAGAGTCTGCAGAATCTCAGGACGAACTGAGCTCCGAATTTCAGCTGGTCCTGAATACTTCTGTCGGGATCACAATGAGACTAGAATGAAGGAACTAATGCGCTGCTTAGTTCACAAATCCTGGCCAGCCAGTCCTGTGACTGGATAAAGAATGAAGGCCTTGGTTTCGTGACAGAAACAGGAGTTCTTCTCTGAATTCAGAAAGTGTCCAGTTCGAATAATGACCGAGGCATCTATTAACATGACTGACGTTCTTTGAGATATCACTCAATCTTTCCAGACGAGTGGGTTTGAAACAGGCCACGATCGCCTCCTTCCACTCATGTCCCACTATTTGACGTCATATATAGACTGAGCTACTGACAGTGCTGCTGAATAAACAATAAATAAAGGTATTTCCCCCTCAGATGTTTGAGGGACCTCACGGGAATAAACACAGACGCCTTTTTAATTACATGAGATTACTTATATTCTTTCGAAACAAGGAAAGTAGGCTGAGAACATATGTGAGGTGACAGTACAATACGTATTCAATGATAAGCAGCAATTAGTTCAAGGGCTGTGTCGCTTAAAAGGTACCTACAACCACTCTACGGATTTGGAATCGTTTAATTTTATCCTCGGCCAAGGAGTGATCACGAAAGAGACTCCACTCCTCCCTACTGCTTCTTTCCGTAACCGGGGATCCGTGGAGTCCTCAGTTCTTCTAGTTCATCTTTGACCTCCTTAATCCAGTCCTAAGGTCATAGCTTTTCGTAACGTGACTTGACTTATTTCAATATCGTAAGAATCCGAAGGTGTATTGTTGTCTGGTTCAGAAGTGCTAACATTGTAGTCACCCGAGCTGGCCGCACGGGTAAGTCTGACTTAATCTAGGTCAGTGATCAGTGATGTCTCGTATGTGGATCTCAACTTTGTGTCTTTTAAGGCAGTCTCTGTACAGGAGTACACAAGGACACTCTCTGTGACAATATGTGAAAGTTCTAATGATTAAATTTATTTCTATAGCTCTAACTGTTGGGTCGTACCGACGTCAGGCAAAAGCAATAAGTCACTGCAACGCAAGTTCTGGGAAACACTTTAAGATGGTCGCACTGTGGTACATGAAAATTTGTATTCTTGATAAAAAATACATTAAGTTCAAATAAGCTAATGTTATTTCTGGGTTTAATTAAGCACCTCGCTATGCAGATAGACCTCGGCACTAGATGGAGATGAGTGGTCAGCTTCAAGTCCCTGCCGCTTTACCCCCGGGGAAAAAGCAATCGATACCCACTATATAGGAGGTTGGGTAGGATCTAGGGACGGCCCTGACTTTATGGAGAGAAGAATAGCCTTTTGCTCCTGTCGGGAATTGAAGATCTGAAAGTTCAAATAAATCAAATAATTGTGGAAAATTCGAAAGAAGGATGTGGCGAGAGTAGTCGAAAGATTACTACGTGATATTGTATACTTGTGTAATGAGATCGAATCATAAGAATTATTTCCAAAAATGATTTTCATACAGTACAGAAAAACTAGTAGTGTTTCGAAACAATTCTCTGTGCATCTGTGATGTTTCTTTTTATTTCGTGTCTGGCTTATTAAGACAGCAAATGAGTGAAGAAATAGCCCGAGGAGAAGAGAACCAAGACGCCAGGACACGCACACATTTTCAACATGCAGCTGATGTATCAAACTGACATGTAATTTACGTCACGACAAATAAATATACAAGAGAAACATCTTGTCTATGCCAAGGATGTTCGAGAACTAAGTTCTAAGACCATGAACTACACAACTGTTACCTTTAACAAGATACAATTACTTACTTACTTACTTACTTACTCATGGAGCTGAGCCCTTCTGGAGGAGCCGCCAATTCTGCAGCTACTCAAGAATTTTCCAGCATTTTATGGAACTCGAAGGTTCATTACCGTGTTCACAAGAGTCCACCACTGGTCCATATCCTGAGCCAGATCTATCCAATCCATACCATCCCATCCTATCTCTCTAAGATCCATTCTAATATTGTCCACCCACCTACGCCTTGGTCTTCCCTGTGGTCTCATTCCTTCTAGCTTTCACACCAATATCCTATACGCATTCCTCGTCTCCACCATTCGTGCTACATGACTTGCCCACCTCATCTTCCTTGACTTGATCATTCTAATTATGCTTGAAGAAGAGTACAAATTATGAAGCTCCTCATTATACAGTTTAACAAGATACAATTAGGACCATAAAATCAAGAAGGAATAGACGGCCTCTGCATGTAGCACGGATGGGTAGAGCATATGAACCTTTCACTGACAGACATGAAATGCAGGACTACTTGAGGGTTCTGTGTGTAACGTGAGAATAGCAATAAAATGGCTGTCAAGGAATACGAGTGAGGCTGTGGACAAAATTAATCTGCCTGAAAATAGGGTTTAGTAATAGACTGCTGTGAACACGGTCAAGAATATTCTGGTTACTTTTCTGGGGAATGTACAAACAAATTTTGCGATCAGCTTCTGAAGAAGGCCTCTTCTCCTCGCAGCTGATTCAGGAATGGAATTCGTTAATATTATTATGTGATTTCTGTTGTCAGATAGTAACTACTCTTTCTTAGTTCACGAGGACACTTTGAAAGTTTGTCCTGGACTCTCTCACTGGAAGTCACACTATATTTGAAATCGTGGAAAATATAGCAGTCATTAATCGATGGGAAATAAATGACAGATTAATAGCCGAAATCAGGTACAGCATCTGGTGAACGTGGAGATGGAGTTTCGGTATTGCAGCTCTGTGACCAGCTTCACACTCTGTCCACCTTTATCGCAAGTAAACAGTGATTTTTGAACGGTTGTATCCCAGGATGTCTAAAGGAGTTCCTCTGCTCTCCCTCAAGCTGTACTGAAAATTAATTGTGTTCACTAAATAAAGGCAAATGTATCCCTTTAAAAGGTCCTGGAGGCCCATAGGGTTGTGAGATGTTGAGACTCCCACATTTTCTCTACACAATCAGCTCACAGATGGCGGTACGGTTGTCAGCCTTACACGCCGGCCGTCCTTTACCCTCGAAATAATCCTGGTACTCATTTCTGTTAGAGGCTGAGTCGACTCCAGGGCCACAGTGCGGCTGGAAGGATTAGGTAAATTGAAAAAACTCCACCTCATCGGGATTCGATCTCGCGACCTTCCGGTTTGTAGCATAGTGCCTCGACTAAGTACGCTACAGCGTGCCCCCTTTTGTGTTTACTGTGTACCGAAATGTACTAGTATAAGCTAATAAATAGTGCGAATTTACGTTTTTACAACCTTACGTGCACTCATTACTATAAGCACGCATTACTGTATGTCTGAACATATAGTACCCGAAGTTGCTACATAAGGTTGGCAATACTGTCACTGTAAGCCAGTTTTCAAAATGACGGTTCCGCTTTCAGACTTATATTCACCTTACTCATTGACTTTTTTATTGTTATTTTTATTGAGGTGGGACTGAGTTCACTGGGTACTGCGGCCACTATTGGGCTATTGTACCAGCCCCAGATGATAGATGGTGGTGATTGTGGCGCAACTGATGGGGAAAAAAAGACTGGCATGGGAAACCGAAGTACTCGGAGAAAAACTGCTTCAGCGCCGCTATGTCCGCCACAAATCTCATATGACCCCATCCGGCCTCGAACCCGGGATGCCGCTGTGGAAAAGAGGCGACTAACTGCCTGAACTACGGCACGGCTCTCAGTCTCTGATTTAGGCAACACTATAACGCGGACTTCAATAGCATGGGATTAGCTTCCTCCACTTGGCAAGCAGATTTACTTCAGAAAACCAGGTCATTGGGTCATGTTTGTTGCAAACGTCATTTGAGCTCACTTATGCAAAGGCAATTAGAATGCAGTGCTAACCTCTGACATGTTTCTGGCGGAATCAATAAGGCATTATCTACAGTTCTTACATAAATAAACACAGGGAAAGTTACAGAATTATTAGGCTTATTTTGGACTCATCCATCGTCTGGTATATATTGAGATTGAAAGCAACAGCAGGTACAGAAAGTATAAGGACTCAGCTCACATAGTATGTTCAATCAATCCGATCTGCCGACCCAGTTTGGATATTTCTCCCTTATGGAGCCCCTCATCAATGAAGAGGTCGACAAGTCAAAATGGAAGTTTCTGTGAACACCAGTGTCCTCCACTATGTCTGTAAATTGTGCTCCGGGGTGTAGCCTTATTCCGGAAGTCGCCCTGGAGACATGATTCTTTATCTGCATATACAGTGTATCCAGGTTCTGTTAGGACTGTGTTCATTAAAAATAAAAGATGTGAAGTATTTTCAAAATTTCACTCTCTTTATTCAAAATAGTCTCCTTCTGAATCAATACATATCTGGAATCGATTAAAAAGTTTTCGAAAACATTCACTGTACTCCTTTTGTGGAATCACATTTAAAACTGCGGTACATTCCCTTTGGATGTCCTGGATGGTGTCGTGACGCTCTCCTTTCGTCGCCAACTTAACTTTTGGGTACAACCAGAAATCTGCTGGAGCCAAATCTGGCGAATACGGAGGAGGATCAAGGACTGTGATCCCTTTTCTGGCCAAAAAATCGCGCACGATCTTCGATTTGTGGGGTGGGGCATTGTCGTGGAGGAGCGACCAGGAACCTTGCTCTCGATATTCATGTCGAATTCGAAGAATTCTCGCCCACAAACGGCTGAGACTCCGAGATGATAATCAGAATTCACTGTTTGACCTTCTGGCAGAAATTCCTCGTGAATGGTTCCTTTGGAATCGAAGAAAACGGTTAGCAGTGTTTTTACTCGACCATTTTGCTTGCGCACTTTCTTTAGTTTCGGCTTCTTTGGGCTCAACTACGCTGCAGTCTGTAGCTTTGTGAGAGACTCATATTGAAAATACCAGTAACAATCGATTTGGTAAATTTTGTATCACTTTGGGCCGACCGTAACATGTCTTTGCAGCGTTCCACTCTGGCATGTTTTTCATCGCCTGACAGCGCGTGCGGTTCAAACCGCGCACAGACCTTCCGTTTGCCCAAATCCTCGGTCAAAATTTGATGCACAGTACTGTCTGGTATTCCCAAAAGCTCCTCGATGAGTCTTGCAGAAACACATCTGTCTGATGCCATGATTTCGGTCACTTTTTTCACATTTCCTTCAGTGCGACTTGTTCTAGACTTTGATGCACGTGGAGCGTCTTCAATGTCCTCCCTGCCGTCACGAAATACAGCATACCATCGAAAAATGTTCGAGCGACTCAAACAATCACTACCGTACACACTTTGCATCATTACGTACGCTTCTCCGGCTGTTTTGCCTAACTTCAAACAAAACTGATGTTGGCTCTCTGTTCAACCGCCAATATCCGACGAGAGTCAGAACAGTACTGTTACATTCAAGGTCATAACACATGATGCAGCGATGCTTGCGCTTTGAAATTATAGACAGCCTCAACTGAAACTTCAAGAATCTTAACGCCACAACTCGCGAACATATGGCATTGCAAGGGGAAAAAAATATATATATATATATGAGTCCTAACGGACCCTGGATACACCGTGTAATTAACCTCTATATTTTTTACCCTCGTTTTTAACTTAATTCCTGGAACTTAATCCATACCACTGTTTTATCACATTTTTGACATGTGCATGCTTGGCACAAATTTCTATCTTGTCTTTCATTGTGATTTTATTCTTATCTCCCACTGATGGAACCTGTTGTCAAGTGTTTATAAGCTGTTCTTTACTGACCGGGGTTTGCCCAGTGATTGAGATTAGCTGCTTCTAACGGGCCCAATCCACCTGGGGATGGAGACATATCCAGTCTCCGAAACGATGTGGTTTTTTGTTTTCTATATACCAGACACCCCTCGTTGGTGTCTCCACCTTATCGTGGTGAGGGTGTTTGAGTATGCCAAGGACCCTGAGAGCTATACCAGCGGTAGCGTAGCTACTGGCAGGGCCTCCCTTGCTGGACAGGTCAAAGGGTAGGCATCAGACGAAGAGAGACACCGAAAACTGATGCCGGAAGCAGCGTCATCAGCGGCGACTTGAAGCACAGAGAAAATGATGCTCGAGATGGTTCAAGTTCGTATAGCAACAGGCGTGACCAGAGTGGTTTGAACGGCTGTTGTACTGCGATGTGGAAAGCAAATGGAAAAACTACCACATTATCACTATTCCTGGATAGTCTCTTTCCAAAAACAGAAGATCGCATTAAGTGGAGAAACTGTTTTGGAAGAGGCTGTGGACCTGTCATCTGACAGATTACTGATGAATGAATGAATACCAGACAGTGAACGTAGACGTTCATGGAGGTAGACCTAAGCCCACTGCGGCTGTAGTGCCAAGAAAAAAAAAGTACCAGACGATTGATAGAGTCCAAAATAAGCCTAATAGTTCTGTACAGCTTATACCTTTCAAGTCAACAGGGAAATGTTTGCCGTGCAGAACTTGCAGCATGTGAACTGTAGTTGCGTACACTTTATTCCAGCCTGTTTCATTTTGTCGTCACTTTCGTTAACATTCCGTTTCTGTTCCATTAAAAAACCGGTTTATTGTGTTGAAACATATCCGATATCTAGCTGGAGCGTTCTATGAAATGAAAAAGTAAATACATACAAGTTCTGACAATGTTAGTATGAGACTGAGGCCTTGGGAACTGCACTGTAAACAGGCCAAGGCACGAGTCTCTGATGACAGATGTGCAAATGGAGTATGTGGTGGAATGAGAATTAGCTAAGGATGTCTCTGCCCTAGTGCCACTTTCTCCATCACAAATCCCACATACATTGATTTGGGATTGAACCCGAGTCGGTGCGGTAAGAGGCTCTCTACTGTCTGAGGTCTGACACGGCCAGTGTTGTTCCTTTTCTTTCTACACAAACAAAAATGTACTGAAGAATAATGCATTTTGCAAGAAACGAAACTTCTCGAAATTGTACCAATATTCTAAACTTCTTGTATTTTTTTTTTAATTCTCTTAGTGGGGGGTGAAGTCCAACTGGGTCCACTCGGCACGGCGGCCACTGATTGGCCAATTGTAGCCTGCCCCGGGTGATTATGATGATGGAGAATTTGGTGGAATGACGATTGGCAGGGGAAACCGAAGAACTCGGAGAAAACCTGCCCCAACGCCACTTTGTCCACCACAAATCCCACCTGACCAGACCCGGGATCGAACAAGGGGCGCCGCGGTGGGAAGCCATCGACTAACCGCTTGAGCTATGGCGCGGCCACTTCTTGTATGTTACTCGTGTGACAGACATTCGCACGATCCCTACAAAGTAAGCAAGGAAATATATACTCATACAATAAAAAGAGTCCTTCGTGAGGAGTTAATAAATTTAACTTTATTCATTCGTTTACGTCACACTAGTTAACTATTATAAAATAATTTGACAACACCGCCCAGTGTGGCTCAGTATATAATTATATAGTGCCCTTACATGTTTCGGTCAGTTGTGTCCATCTTCAGAAGGCAAAAAAATATGCTAAGAAAACAGTATTACATATATCGTAGTACATACGCTTAAACTTTCGTATAAATAATTTTAATTAAAGTTAAAAGTGTTTAAGTTAATATGTTATTATTATTATTATTATTATTTGTTTACTTTCCTGCATTAATGGGTTTTCCTCCGGTGCTTGTCTATAATTTCTCTTTGACTTTATGTCATGTTTGTCCATAATGTAATCACTTGTATCTACACTGTGCTCTGTCTGTAATTGGCCTTGCGGCTGCCGACTCGGCACATAAATAATAAAGAATTGAATTGAATTAATAAGTTCTATTTTGGGTCGCATGTTACAAATCTTCCTTGAAAGGAAGGGTCAATCGATTCTGCAAACTTTATTTTTGTTTCATTGTAAGGAATTAACACAGCTAACACAAACTTCAGCAACCACCATCCTGATCTGTCAGCAGCCATCAACATCAAGGCAAGATCTTCCATCAGAAAAAAGATTATGACTCGCTGAAGGCACAGATGATGGTTAGAATTTCAAATAATAAAGTACTTTTAATTAAGTTATGCACATTGCTTTTTTAGTCATTATGTTATTGCACACTTAAGAGATCACAATATAGTGTAAACATAATTTTTATATGCACTTGGAAACAAAATTTGTCGTGTGACTCTCTTTATTGCGGTGGTCTGGAACAGAAACAATAATATTTCCGAGGCATGCCTGTATATAAAAAATTATTTCTTATTGCTTGTTTTGTTAACAGCTCACCAGAGGTTCCTTTCCGAATTGCCCTTGTATATACAGACACAAGCGCCTTCTGAGGCATGGGCGATGTTCGTGTTATCTCTACGGATAATTCTCTGCGTGCTTCCCATCAATTTAAACATAAGTTCCAGCTATTCCTCGCGGAAAGGTGAGCACCTATCGAAAATACTTGGTTTCACTATAATAAACTGAGAGACATTCTCTGCTCGTTGTTATAATACCTCTAAGTCACTGACTGTCACTGAATACACCAAAACCTTGAGTAGTCCTCACGGCCAAAATCTATAGGATTAAGATCATGGGATCGTGCGGGCCAGTGGACTGGACTGACTCCTACTCTCCGCCCTCTCATCAGATACGACACCACAAGACAGAGAAAAATATCATTTCTAGAAGAAGTTGCGTGACAGCGGGCCTCACACTGGGCACAATACCGAATAATACCGAGACACATCGCCAGTCGTAACATGTCCTTGACTCTGATGGCCGTTAGACAAAAAAGAACTGGTATGATGAGTTCAAGTATTATATTCCTGTTTGGATCATTATGCGACGGACTTCGAACGTCAGTAGTTGTACGAGTATGTGACCACTGCAGTTCTGTCGCTAGGACAGAGTGGTCAAGTGAACCAGGACTTGCATAGCATTTAGCTCACGCTTGAGAGTGGCATGCTTATACTCGCTTGTGGGTGATAATATTCAGTAGAATAATTTATTTCATTTAAGACATTTTATCCGTGTTTTATTAAGTATCAAAGCGAACACGACATAATAATTATTAACACTCATTAGGGACGGGTGTTGCTTCAGTACAACGATACTTGAGCTAGTAAGTAGCTGAAGGAACTAGGAAATTTATTAGTATTATCCAGCCGGAGGCCTCTCCAATTCGATATATGACTGCTAACCACTTCTCGTTTTAAACTATTTGTGTGTCTTGTTAGGAATTGTTGGCTTCTTTTCGGGAACAGCAAATTCCTCAAAAATTTCTGCTCAAAATGTTTCTGCTTTCAGTGAATCAGTTCTTAATGCCTTAATAATCAAACTTTGTGTATTAACAGTTACTCAGTTTCCAGTGTTTGTACTGAAAGGTGTATATTACCTAAGAGTGTGACAGTGTTCCTGTTTTTGTAATTACATTTCTTATATTGACTGTTTCCTATCGTATGTACCTTTATATTAAAGAATGAACTGACAAATTTATGTTTTCATTACGCCGACAACAAAGACGCGATTACTAGCAACAATTGCATCCATTCACGCCATGACTTGGTGTCATTAGGTAACCCACACAGTAACTCGGTATTTCTTTTTCAGATGTTCAAAGAACGATGTTAATTCTACCACTCAGTATATTCATGACCACAATATTCACAATACTAATAATTTTTCGTGTCAAAACAAGACACATGCTGAAGTACTCTGAGAAGATTCCTGGTCCCAAAACATTGCCAATATTAGGAAATGCATTGGACTTTGGCCTCAGACATGAAGGTGGGTATACTATTTTTCTGACAGTTAAATAAAGAGTTTTTATAGCTAAAAAGACGGAAATTATGCTAAACAGTATACACTTATAAAAATTCAGTTCTTACCTTACAGAAAAAGTACTTGTGTGCTACGAATGTCAAGAGATCAGTGTTGTTTAGGGAAATATTGGATGTTTCTTGTGAGACACGTCTGTTTGTGAGTAATGGCGGAGTCTGGATTGGTGAATCGATTTATTGAATGGCCACTAGTAGTAACTACAATTAATTATAACGTTCTCAAGATTACTGTAATTACTGCAAAAAAAGTCTTCTATATCTGCTTGCACTAGTCGTTGCTAGGTAACAGAACTAAACAATGGCTAAGCCTTGACAATGTTTTCACTGTCCGTTTCCTGGCAACGGATCTATAACACAGGAACTATAAAAGTCTCACTTAATCAACCACTCACAATATCACTGCAGTACAGCACACATAAAGTTTTCAGACCACACGTTAAAACTTCAAAAGCCGTCAACAATTCTCTTGAGACTTCTGAACTTGGATTCTCTTCATGCTTGCAGCTCCTAGTTCAAATTCGCTCTACTCAATCCTAATCTGATCCAAAGTTAAAGTCAAAGACCAGTCTGTCTCGAAACAAAGCACCCATCCGGCGCTTAAGACCAGATCTTTGTTATTATTATGAGTGCTTTGTGGAGGGTAAATTTAATGTTAGTACTTAATCGCTCACTTTTGAATGGGGAATATATTCTAATAGACGTTCTACAAGTCTTGGTTTCGATCATTTCTCTCTGTTATTTCCATGTAACTTTCTTATAGAAGATTACACCGAGATATTTTACACTATGATTTCATTCTCAAAATCAGAGTCAAAGTCACATTAAGACTGACGGTCAGTCAGTCAGTCAGTCTTGGTATCGAGCCCCATCCTTTTGTATATTTTGCTGGTCTTTGCCAACGCAGTCTTTCTGGCGTCCGTGTCCCTTGGGGCTCAAGACAACATTTTACTCTCTCAGATCCGAGGTTTCCCTTTTCGTTACAGATATATATTTATTTGGCAGAATGTAGAGTTTGTACAGCCTAAAAAAAAGTGGCGCGTGGAGTAAAAACTTGGCTTTAACAAGTCAACTAACGGATAACCTGATTTTATACTCCTACGTATTTACACCAACAACAAGAATTAGTATAACAAGAGCGTGAATACTATGCAAGGGATATTGGTTCAGTAAACTGTATATAAGTTTGAGACCGTTTCCACAATAAGCTGTCCACTATATCTCAGAGGAAAGAATTTATTCATTGCTATTTCCTTCGTTGCAGATTATCTGGATCGCATAATCCAACTCGTAAAGAAACACCTTCCGGTCGTGCGAGTCTGGATTGGACCTTTTCTTATTATTGGAGTGACGGATCCAAAGCACATAGAGGTAATAAATGAAAATGAAGATATTTGTACATGCTTTATGAAAGAAAATGCAATCGTCATATTACTCACTGCAGCATTTACTTGTGTGTGAACATCCAGGCGTTATAAATACAGCCCAAATCACAATTTGTTTGAGCAAAATCACATATATTAGATTTCAGGTTACGTCCTACAGGAATTATGCATATGAAAATTCTCAATCCAATTTTAAGGAAAAGAGTAGATTCATCCTACCTATTACACTCGTAAATGCATGATCTGTTTCATGATATCATTTCAACTACTTAAATATTAAGCAATTAAGCATGTTTAATTAGGAAGTTTTATTATATATGAAAGATAAATGACGTGACCTAATTTTATATCATTATTTCCTTTCAACATTGACCTCATAATAAATTTAAATTGTTATTCCTAAAGTCGCGTGTATCTACTAAAACAATTTCGTAGCGAAGAATGATTTGTCGAAGGTCGCATCTGTAGTCCACCCAGAAAATCCTTTGCTTAGACTACATATTTATGAGCATCTGTACTTGGCTCATGCTGCAAGCAGCGTGGTTCAAAGAAGTGTAATTTCAAGTTCCCATTTTGTATTCACTATTGGCAAAAGAAGGGAAAACGTAGACAAGAAATCGATTTTAGATTTCACATCTTTCGCAGAAGATAAATCGTCTTGGTTTGTTGGCTGAATTAAGAGTTGAAGATATTGAAGTCTTCAATCCTTCTACAGGAAGCCTCCAGAATATTTTGAAGTTTTCATTTCACTTGTTGGTCACCAACAGTGACTGATGAGAAACGGAAGCCTGGAGATGGCTTGTAACCTCAAATGTGGAAAATTTAAAACTTCAAGTTCCCTGGTGTGGGTTCAGATATATCACTTCATCTCTCATTGGGAAGTTCTGAACGACCTCGCTATACCATTATAATCTTTGAGTAGTTCTCATTCTCAGGCAAAAATATATAGTTTCTCACATGGCATCTTCCACTGACTTTTGTAGTCGTATCATGTTCTCTGTGCTCGGACCAAAATTACGCCTGTTCATATTAGAATTCCGAAATTCTTAGCGTCACCAGAATTCTATAATTTCCACATAAAACACCGTATTACATGTTCAAAGGAGTAGATATTGCAGATTCACAATAAAGTATAATGAATATTGAAATATAAATGTTTACAATTTAAATAAGAATAAACAAATATAAATAAAGTTCTCTGCCATTTGCGTAATCAAATTTAATAAAAATAGGTCAGGGCTGACCAACTTCAGTACGTGATTAAAAGTGCCACACGTGAAAATACACTTGTTGGAACCACACTTCTTGCAGCAGGGCTCAATTTCAAATGCTCACAAACATACAGTCCAAACCAACCGTTTATCAGCTAAGAATATATAGGCGCCATTCAAGAATCACCATTCTCCAACGTTTGCCAGCGTCTGCTAGAAAATATCTGCTAGTTAATACGCAGCTTCTAAAGTACCGATTTTGTTCGGGAATTGTTTGTTCGTTCTTTCGTTTGTTTGCTTGTGCGCTGCTAGGCCACCTCGTATACATTCATGTCTCCACGAATCTGCTTTCTCATCAGTAAATATTTACTACTGTTTGGTAACATTTTGCTCGCTCAATGGACGAGCAACGAACTGCATGTAAGGGAAATGGAGGCCGCGCCATAGCTCAAGCGGTTAGTCGCTGGCTTCCCACCGCGGCGGCCGGGGTTCGATCCCGGGTCTGGTCAAGTGGGATTAGTGGTGGACAAAGTGGCGCTGGGGCAGGTTTTCTCCGAGTAATTCGGTTTCCCCTGCCAATCTTCATTCCACCAATTGCTCCACAATCACCCTCACCTATCATCTGGGGCTGGTACAATAGGCCAGAAGTGGCCGCAGTACAAGGGACTTAGTCCCACCCCACTTTCAATAAAAAAGAAGGGGAAACGGGAAGACTCCGAGTAGGAACGTGAATGATCCAGTTGCCTTGTCATGCGAACCAGCGGCATGGATTGGAATGAATAATCTGCTCAAGCACATCAAAGTCGCCCTATAAATCAGCCTGGTTTGCAGCTTCAGTGCAGTCCATGCAATTGTGTTTCTTTACTTTCAGGCCGTAATGAGCAGTCACAAACACATACAGAAGGCCTACTTTTACGCTACCCTTATGCCGTGGCTGGGAACAGGGTTGCTCACAAGTTGGGGTAAGTAACGCTGTCCTCTCAGCCTTCAGTTTTCAGTTCAGCCACAACCCACCACGGGCTGCAAAATTGAGCCACATATTTCAGCAAATGTACTACCAGCTCTTGTCCAAATACTTTCAGTAGCATAGAGAAACTAATGAATTCGCACTCTTCGAATTAATTCTTTAAATACTTTCCTTATTTTAAAAAAACTCGAGAAGTTCTGGGTCAGTCGATCATTCGGTGCGTATCCTCCTTCGAAGTGACACGTAGCGGTGCGCCTCTGAGGATGATTCCTTTGAACCGAAACATGTAAGGTGAATAAAGACTGAAGTGTTGTAAACTTGTGTGTCACACCGGACTGAAAATTATCTACTTTGCAAGCTTCATAAGTAATTAAACCAGGACTTGACCGGAGATTAACAGCCAATCAAGATGATTGTCATACTGAGTATGACATCACAGTAGAAATTGCTTGATGTTATGTGCAATCATTTGTGTCAGACAGACGCATCTAGGCTTTGAAGCCAAGTGTCTCGCCCTCAACATAAGGAACAAAGGACTGTGCCAAGCCAAAGACATGAGTATAGTTAACTATGTAGATTGTGCTAAGTGTTTTTGTGAGATTGTTGTTTCGATTTGTTGACTCTTGTTGAGACCAAGGCCTGCGTTAAAAGGTAAAAGTAAAGCTATCGCTGTACCGGGCCGTGAAGGCCCATAGGGTTGTGAGACGTTGAGGGTCCCACATTGTCTAGACAATCGGCTCAAAGATGGCGGTAAGGTTGTCAGCCTTACTCGCCGGCCGCGCTTTACTCCCCAGGAAAATTACTTAATTAATTCCTGGTACTCATTTCTGTTAGAGGCTGAGTGAACCCCAGGGCCATAGTGCGGCTGGAAGGATTGGGTCAATTGAAAAAAAAAATCCAATGACCTTATCGGGACTTGAACCTGCGACTTTCCGGCTTGTAGCATAGCCCCTCAACCAACTACGCTACCGAGCGCCCCCAGGCCCGTGTTAAAGCCCTGAGAAGAGATCCTGTGATCTCCGGCTGGAGATGGCGCCCAAGAATTTCCATGTCTTGACCTAAGAGTCTAATGTCTGCAGCGACTATAGGGTAACCCAGTTGTAGCAGCCTCGGCGAGGGTCTTCAGTAAGGTAAGGAACAGTCTAAACAAGTGAAATCCACCCCCACCCCCACCCCCACCAGCGAGGCTACATCACCGCACAATTCCTCGGAGTCGTTACCAGACGACTTAAAGCGAGCAGCTGAGTCCAGCTTAACCCTTGAGTGAGAGTGAGGGAGGCGGTTATAGCACCTGCAGGCGTTGTTTCCAACATGTTTCACGTCCTGTTGGACTGATTCAGTAATGGACGCGATTATATTTCCATACATAATTAGTTGCAGTATTTTGCAGGAAAGAAGTGGAAAGTTCACCGGAAGATTCTTACTCCCAGCTTCCATTTCCAAATACTGGAGAAGTTCATAGATGTTTTCAACAGTAACGGGGACATTCTGGTGCAGAGGCTCTCTAGTCATGTCAATGGTCCCAAATTCGACATCACTAACTACATCGTGACGTGTACCCTGGATGTGATATGCGGTAAGTGGTCGCGTTAGGCATACACGCTGTGTTGGAGCTGTGCAGACATCATGTGATTGCAGCGCCATTTTGACTCGGTTTCTGAGGTAGGACTACAAATCCGTCGGTGGAGAAGTGACGAGCAATGCGTAGCTTTAGCTCTATGTAGACGGACGCTCCACATTCGCGTATTTTACTGCATTCGAAACATGTTCTCAATTATGTTGTTATAGTTCACATCTTTTTTCGAATATATTACTCAAAACACGACCTCAGTTAGAAGATTGATAACATTTTAAAGGCTGAATTTCTTCTACATAATATACAAAACTCATTTCTTACATCACAGGGAACACACCACGTTTCCGCTACAAAGACCGATCCAATAATGTTTAGTGAAACAAACGCTATTTCTAGTGAGAACCATATGAAACATACAAATACTCTGCAGGCAGCATTCATAATGTTAAGTTAAACATGGTCTTCAGTCAAATCAGTCTTGTTTTGTGATTTTAGTTCACAGACGTATTTCTTTAACTAGTCTTCGGTTGTGCCCTGTATTGTTTACAATATTTGTATAGAAGGATTAATATTTTGGGGGTTTTTGCATTAAAAATGATGGTAATGAAACTGGTAGCTGCATATTTATTGAGTTAGCTTTGTGTGCAGTTCTGTTAATCTTTCACTATTGTCGATGAATTCCAGCAGCCTGTGTCAACTATTTTCTCTTATTAGTAACATTTAGAGAGTGTTCTGTCGCCTCCCAGAGCCGTCAGAGAGTAAAATACGGCCATGAGCCCCTTGGTACTCGACACCAAGGATCGGTGTGCTGGAGAGGGCCATCTTCAATTTAGCCGTTAGTCATTCAGTCAGTCACTAAAGCTGCTCTAGTTTCTTAATAGAATAACCGAAGGACTCGCATGATTACAGTTAGTGTCACAACAATGAACAACTCATTAACAGCGTTCGTAAAAAGCTGCAAAAATACTCGTGCTAGCTTCAGCACATCTTTCTATCCGGCCATTTGTCTGCACGTAATAATTCACTATTCGCCGTACGAATTTTAATGAAATTGAATTCTGATAATTTTTACTATGGTGGCATGACGGCTAAAAGCTGGAAGAGTGAGTGAACAGATGCAGCCATTCCTAGGCAACGGCAAGTTAAAACGTGTCCGCACCAACGAATAAATTTTGAACAACAGAGTAATTGTTGGAAGTGGTGCTTTCTATGTGGTCCGTGCCGAGGATTCATAGCAAGATCGAGAGTGCAGTCCGAGCCACTTTTCTCTCAGAACGCAAATTTAGTATTTCGGTGGCATGCGCAATGTCTACGCCAAAGGAAATGCAAGCAGGGTGTCTCAAGGTTCCGTCTTGTCGCCTACTATATAAATGAACCACTCCCCCCCACCAAAAAAAAGAAACACATGGCGTTCATCTAGCCCTCTTCGCAGACGACACCTGTCTGTATGCGACAGATTGCAAGGAGGGTTTTTCAGAAGACTCCAGCTCAGTCTTAGCTCAAAGGAGACCTGGTGTGACCGCTGGAATATGAAAATTAATGAGGATAAGCTTGGGGGGTCTACTTCCCTCGCAGTAGTCAACCGTCTGACTTTCATCTTATATTGAATGCATGAAATCGATGTAAGCTTCGATATGAAAGTTACATGGAGATTGCACGAACTAATGATCGAAACCAAGACTTTCAGAATATTTTTAGAGTATATTTCATATACAAAAGTGAGCGACTAAACGCTAACATAAACAGATCCTCCACAAAGCGCCGATTGGAAATATAATAGTAATGACTTATACTTACCCCACCTGGAGTTCGCGGCAAACAGCCATCTACTGAAAATGCAGTACCTGCGAAACAAAGTTCTCCGCACCATTGGAAATTTTCCATGGCGCACACCCATTCGCGATTTGCACGTGACTTCCAAACTTTCGTACATATGATCTTATAGCAAAATTGTGTAGTGTAACCGCACTACTGCCATACACCCATTTAAATTTAATTAAGTTCATTAATTAGAAAATTAATTGTTTCACAGATGATGTTATGAACAAGTCAGTGAGACACAGGCCTGTTCTTGCATGTAAGAAGTAGCTTACTCTCAAACTTGCAGAAGAACAGAAAGAAACCCTGTAGATATTTCTTAGAATTTTAGTTCGAAAGTATTCCATAAAATGCTAGGAAATTGAGTAGCTGCAGAATTGGTGGCTCCTCCAGAAGGGCTCAGCTCCATGAGTAAGTAAGTAAGTAAGTGTAACTGCGGCAATCTTTGGGAATTCGAAACTTGACAGTTTCTGCAACTCGTAATTCTTAAGGAGGAAGGCCAGAGACTGAAGCCAAGCGTAAAATCCATTAAAGACCTGTCGAAAGTTACGTTATGTCTTTAAGGGCTAAAATCCAAAGTCACAGTGAGCTGATTGGAAATCAGGGAAATAAAGTGAACTCCCTAATTTCAAAAACGTCCAATCACTAGAATTTAAGGGTGTGACAGAGCCAGGAAGCTGATGGACCAAGGACTTCACGGTTTTGAGGGAAGTCAGCAAAACTTGTATCAGTCAGTTGAAAATTTGTCTGTACTAATAAGCATTAGTAACCAAGTTGTAAGTTCTAAAGTAGTGACGCTAGAAGCAAAAGAGTTGTGCTTCAAAGAAACAAAAACTAAAAAGCAAATTTATAAGTGAAATCAGTAATTGAGTAAGTCAAGGGCATAAACGTTTAATAAACAGTTAAATTTGATATGTGTGTGTGTAGCGTTGAGCTTAATTCCTGCCTCTCGGAAATTGAGGCCCCCAATAGGCCTTGAGAAATAAATCCTAAGCTCTGCCGACAAAAACGAACCTCACCTTATAAATAAAACAACCTGAGATATCAATAAGCAAGAATTAGACGGCTATAAAAGTGGCGAATAGCGGTGGGCCCAGAAGAAGTGTAGCATTATAGTAGGCAACAAGCAGAAGACATACAAAATCATGAAAATTCATATCCTCTCAACATTGGACAAGGCGAAGCCCGACACAAGCTTAAACTCGGAGGCGGTCAGACGTGCGACCGTTCAAGTGACTACATTGTCGTTGTAACGGAAGCTACTAGAAGTAGGGCATGATCTGCTGTACTGAGTCTGCACTGACAGAGGTTTTATGTGTATTGTATATGCATATAAAACATCTGTATCATGTACAATATAAATATATTGTTCATTCTGACATCTGACATATTACTGCCGACAATGACTCTGATAATGATAGAACCCTCCTCTCGTCAGAGAGGGCGCCCCACAAAGACAAGACAGTAACAGCGAAACTGAATCTAACATCAGGTCATGAGCCCCAGATAGGGCTCTACACCAAGACAGACAGACCCAATAACTAATCATCAGTCGCAATGTTACTTTGACTTTGAGTCCGACCTATATGTGTGTGTATGTGTATGTGTGTGTGTGTGTGTGTGTGTGTGTGTGTGTGTGTGTAGGCGAGCGTAAATCATTGAGGAAGTGCCCCCTCGAACACCTCCAGCAGAAGGGAGTGACCAGCAACTGTCTGTCAGACCCGTCCTCTAGTCGAAGAGATGGCTCCACTTGAAAACACGTAAAATTCTTAAAAAGAAAAATATGTTCATGGATCCCGATTATACTCGAAGTAAAGAACTACTCAGCTGACGAGGGCCAGCAGCAATTTAATCGAGCGATCAGAGTTTTAGTATGTTAAAGCAGGTGGAAGATAAAGTAGGTAGGTGGACAATATTAAAATACATCTTAAGAGGGATAGGATGGGATGTTATGGATTGGATTGATCTGGCTCAGGATAGGTACCAGTGGAGGACTCCTGTGAACATAGTAATGAACATTCGGGTTCCGTAAAATGCTGGGAAATTATTGAGTAGCTGCAGAATTGGCGGCTCATCAAGAAGGGCTCAGCTCCAAGTAAGGTACATAAAGTGACCAGCGGGCTTTAAATGGCTAAACCCTGTTACATCAAAATAGTGTATGGCAACGAGTGAGGTGAATACGATCTTCAGCTTCGTCCCCACACCAAATGGGTTGTGGCCATCGAGAAATTGAGCTATAAATATTCTATTAATATAATTTTAATACCATATTTAAACCCATGTAATTTCACTTACGCTTCTTTAAATGTGCGTTTGATTTAGTTCTTTGATGAGCAATAACACACATCTTTCTAGACCAGATACCTGAACTGTTTGGGGTGCTGTAGGCCTAACACTGTTCGAGGAACGAACCAATGCAACCTCAGGACAACCTAAAGTAATGCCGACGGAGCGAGATTCTGACCTGTGATGTCGGTGTTGGAACTGATGTTAGGAACTTGCTTGTTGCAGAGAGCACCATGGGAGTCAGCGTGAAAGCGCAGAGCAACGGCACAACGCAGTACGTCAATGCGGTCAGCAGGTGGGACATCACAGTTCTTATGGTCCCTACATGTTCATAAAAGTAAAGGAAAGTATAAAGTTGTGCCTATTCTTGATTAATTAAGCAGCACCCCATGAAGACGTATGGGGAGTGGAGGTATAACTCCACCATTCTTGACCTCCACACTAGATGGAAATGAGTGGTCAGCTTCACTCCCCGGTCGCATTTCTCACTGAAGAAGAGCCCTCGGTTCCTGTTAGACAGAAGGCTGGGTGGGCACCGGAGCCGGTCTTGACGCTGAGGAGTAAAGAAAACGATGTTGCCTCTGCCGGGAATCAAACCCGACAGTCTAGTCCGTAGCCCCTCGTTATACCGACTGAGCTACCCAGAGTCCGTTTATCTTAGAACTGCAAATTGTAAATTATTTAACTTTGCATGTAATATACAAACGATCTGTGATTTTAACCGTAATGTCTTTGAGCCAGGATAGCGCAGTCCGTACAGCGCGTGCGCTAAGTGTTCGATGACTGAATGATTGGAGGTGGAGTCCCGGTAGGGGCAAGACTTTTCACTTGTCTATGTTTTCTACACCGGCTCTGGGGTCCACCCAGCCTCCTATTCCAAGATTATCGGAGGCTCTTTCCCCGTGGGTAAAGCGACCGGGGCGTGAAGCTGACCACTCAACTCCTACTAGTGCCGAGGTCAAGAAAACGTGGGTTTATACATTCACTCTCCCATACGTCTTCATGGCGTAATCCTTAATTGAGCATACATTTTACCGAAATTTCTTTTACTACCGTTGTAGTATAATTTCAGTTTTTGATGTTTATTTCCCTTACGAAACTTGTGAAACTGCAATCAGGAAAAGTAGTATGTCCGAAATCAGCGTTAACTTCATGAAGTAACACATATATTTAAACTCTGCAAGACGATGCTTAAGCACAAGCGGTGTCTAATAACTTAATGAACTTCTTATGCGCCCTTACTTGTATCCAGATCATTGCATTCTGCTGCATTTTGTTCCAGGATGGGTGAAATTGTCATGCTACGGTCGTTGAAGCCATGGCTTTATCCTGACACACTGTTCGCAGCTACAGCGCTCAAGCGTCTCCAGACAAAATGTCTCAACGTCCTGCACCGAACGACAGAAACTGTTATCAGGACCAGAAAACTAGATCTGCTGGCAGAAACGCGGAATAAGGGCGCAGAGCAAAGGGAGGAACATGTCTTTGGCAAGTATTTCAGTTTTAGTACACACTTCACCTGTGGCCACGGCGCAGTGAGCCCTTTGCGGCGCCAAGAGGAACTCGCATCGAAAGAGAGTAATAGCAAAGTCATTAAGGTAATCAGAGTACAATAGTTTGTTTATAGTTTATTTACTGCTGCTGCCAGTAGCTCAGGATATAGGTGAACTTAGAGTTTAGTCTTGTGTGCATCCTCACTGATTATGTGTCCTTAAATTTTATAATCTTTATGTTCTTCTTTGATTAATATGGTAATTTGAACTGTACCACTGGGAATGGAAGAATTATTACCGATCGCTAGTGAGAAGACTGTGACGGGTAGGAGGACATTAATCTGAGGCGGTAGCCAGCCAGCAACTACGTAAGGTCGATAGCAGAGGAATCTCCACTGCTGGGAACAGCAAAATAACGACCGTTACCGAACAACGACTCGTAGAGATATAATAGACTGAGAAAGCTTGTGTTACAGTAATATGCTGAGTGAGTAGATAGGAGGTAGTGTGGTACGGGTAGGTACGGGTAACAACAATCCAATAAATCGAATAAGCAATTCTAATCCCGCTTCCAGTAACACGTGATTTCACTCAAAACCTGAAACCACCCATTACAGGCAGAAAGAGACATGTGAACTTCCTCGACTTGCTGATCGAGGTATCATCAAATAGTGGCGCAGGCCTCACGGAACTGGAGATCCGAGAAGAAGTGGACACATTCATGTTCGAGGCAAGTAACGTCAATATTTTGTAATCGTTCAAAACTAAAAGTATTGTCACGTGTAGGGTGGTACGTGTGACGAAAATAACGGGTTCTGTAAAGTTATGAAAGGAGTAGGGGCAATGTGGTCTCCAGTGACGCTTCACCGCAAGTAACAAAATAACGGGTTCTGTAAAGTTATGAAAGGAGTAGGGGCAATGTGGTCTGCAGTGACGCTTCACAGCAAGCAAGAAAATAATTGGCTGAATATCATAATTAAAAAAAGTCCGGCCTTTACAGGATAAGAAAATATCGTATGAAGTATAACAACTCTTAGGATGGACCTATAAACAGTTTATATGTTTCTGTATTTCTTTCTGGAAATGAAAATTATTTTTCTGTAAGTTTACAGAGTTCTTATGCTCCTTTGGCGTTATTTTTAGGGGCACGACACGACGTCTTCTTGTAGCCTATTTACGTTGTGGGCCTTGGCAAAACATCAGGACGTGCAGGTAAATTTATGTGTTCAAATTGATTCCATGTAAATGCAATCTTGGAGGGTTCATGATACCTTGAGTGAGGAACATTATGGAAGGAAAGTCCTGTGTGCTCTACAATACACCGGGGATGGAGGCTCTGCTTCTCAACGTACATTGAAACAGAACCAGTAAATGCGGTGTTCTACGTCACCATCTGGTGGACACAGAACAGCCGTGATAACCGTTCGAATACGTTTATTTTACAATAAATCTGCATTGAGGTTTCAGGGTTCTGACGAGAAAATAAATCCATTTTCAGAATTCTATTACCGCCTGAGTACGGTCCATCTGTCTGTCAATACAAACATTGGCATTGTAGACAACAGTTGATACAATTTCGTGAAACTCGTTATGAAGTTGATGCCTTCGAATACCTGTCATCAACAATGCAATTATGCAATTATCACCGACGGTATACTTTGTCTAAAGCATCTTTAAGATTGCCTCGTATTGAAATATTGACGTGGAAGTTACTTCATAGCCATAAAGTCGCTATTCCTGTTTTCGGCATACCACAGGAACCAAAGCCTCTAGACTGGACATATCGCTGAATGCACATCGCTTCTCTTCCATTTGGTTCCCTTAAAAGGAAAGTAATGGCAAGTTTCAACTGAACATGAACAATTGACTCTCCTGCCAGTATATATATATTTGTAAAGTAGATCTTCCACCGCAGGAAAGAGTTCTGCACGAGCTGAGAACGATTTTCGACAACACTGACCGCAAAGCCAAGTACGAAGACTTGCAGGCGATGAAGTACCTAGAGCAGGTTATAAAAGAGTCTCTTCGGCTCTATCCCAGCGTACCTCTTTTCGGACGGGAACTCACTGAAGATGTACTGGTTGGTAAGTAAGGTTTCTGAACAAGCGATTGTTGTTGGTAACCCGGAATAATATATATTTAAAAGACTGACAGCTAAATCTATTACCGGCCATGTTGTCTGTAGGGAATGGAAAGTTCTGTCGTTTGTGGGCGAGGCTGCTGTACACGTTTGGTGAGACAATGCAATGTCGCAAGCAAAAATCAGTTGGAACCCGCGAAGTGTTCAAATAACAATTCTCATTGTGCTTATCTTGCACAGATAACTGATTGACTAACTAGATAAATAGCAAAACTAATTATATATATATATTTAATGCTATTGGGGTGGGACTAAGTCCCTTGTGCTGCGGCCACATCTGGCCTATTGTACCAACCCCAGATGATAGGTGAGGGTGATTGTAGATCAATTGGTGGAATGCAGATTGGCAGGGGAAACCCAAGTACTCGGAGAAAACCTGCCCCAGCTCCACTTTGTCCACCACAAATCCACTTGACCAGACCCGGGATCGAACCCAGGCCACCGCGGTGGGAAGCTAGCGACTAACTGCTTGAGCTATGGCGCGGCCAATAGCAAAACAAACTTAAATAACTAAAGTAAGTAGCTAGCCAACAGTCTAATTAACCACTGGACTCGATTCAGTAACAGATAAAACCAGCCCATACAGTCTCATCCTATTGCTTTAAGAAGCATTTTATGTTAGCCTCACACCTCCTCACCAAGTTGCTGTAAGCCTCATCCCTCCCTTGCATGCTGTGTCCTGCAAGTCTCAATAGCCCTGATTTCGAGCGCTGATAATTTCTAGTGAACTCTTCATAAAGCAAATTCCTCCCTCCTCCTGAAACTTCCCACGTCTTCTGTCCAAATGATCACCTCAGAAAGCTTTTCTAGAGCACTCTCTACCCTGGCGCATTTTCTTTCCTTAATGAGAAGAGTTTTCCAACCATACAAGACAAAGAGTAAAATTATACATTTGTATTTTAATCTTTAGGTCTGCAGATAAAACATGGAAAGGAGGACAGTGTACTTTCGTTTTTCGCATAAATTCTCCAAGTTTAATCTCATAATTATTTATCATTCTAAGATAAAGGCGAAGCTGTCCCTGTGCTTAATTAAGTAAACACTACGCCATGAAGGCTTATCGGGGAGTGGATGTATAGACCCACATTTTCTTGACCTCGACACTAGTTTGAGGTGAATGGGCAGATTCACACGCCGCCCAAATTTCCTCCGGGGAAAGCGCCCCTAATACCCACTAGGTAGGCGGCTGGGTGGGCCCCAGAGCCGATCTGGACGACGTGCCAGGGAAAATTCTTGACCCTACCGGGATTCGTATTCCGACCCTCGGCCGTCCAGCCGTAGCCAGTCACTACACGGACTGCGCTATTCGGACTCCTGTTCATAACTGCATAAATTGAAAAATATTGCAATTTCAGAATCCGTCACTATTGCAGATCTACACAGAATGAAGACCACTGTCAGCTAACATAGAAGAAATGTTATGATTGCTCCTTGCTCGCTAAGGCTCATTCATTAGAAACTTTGTTCTGCATTCTGTCCTTTCTTAAAAACGGTTGATCTTCGAGTTCCTCGAGGTCAAGGGATTTATTTTTGTTTACAGTGTTGGCTCTTCTGCAGACAAGCTGCGGCTGCTACTGTTGTCTGTAGGGATGTTCATGTATTTGCAACAAAAGTGGTTCCTCTTGCTCACATCTTATAAAAGTTGTCTCTTAATTATTAAAATATTAATTGTATTCAAGATGAATATACGCGTATATTTTTTTCTCACAGAATAATGGCTGGCGAGATTCTGCTGATTGGGTTGTCGTTTTGTCTAAAGGATAAAAGTTTCCTTGTCATTTATTTATGTCAGTGGGTTTCACTTTCTTCTTTCCTTTACTAATGTCTACTTCATAATCGACCTTTGGACTGTTGAATAAGCACGTAAATAAACAAGGAACAAAATAATTGAATCAATTATGTACAAGTATGCATCCGTGTAAATATTAACAATGTGTTTACTCGAATGTTATGATGTATCATATAAACGCAATCCACATGAATTAGAAGGATCTTTATGTCTACACAATTAATTTGGAAACGAAACAGTTTTTACTCCTTGTATGAACATGTTGAATATGTAATGTTTTGTAGCCTTCGAGAAAATGTAAATGTTAATCTGTTGGGTCAAGCTAGTTCTCTCTGTATTGTTATAAAGTAAGCAAAGATTATTTTAGAAAAAGTTAAATAGTTCCGTCCAGTGTGACTGGTTAAGATTTTCTTATTTCAATTATTCATGCCCTTACATGTTTCGGTCTTCAGAGACCATCTTCAGAGGAACACCTTTACATCAATACAGTTATAAGCCACCATTACAGTACATGTTCTAAAAGTTAAAATAAAATACAATACAGTGGGCCACAAACACATACAGGACAACAACAAAGAACCCTCTTCTCAAACAAAAACGACAGGGTGGCACACGTTCGGCCCCCGTCAAGAGAGATAATAAGAGGGACGTCACGAACCCCCTTGGTTTACGAATTCCAATAGTCTTAACTATCTAAACATATTTTAATGTATTGGAACAGCCGCTGTAGTTGCAAAGACTTTAGATTTTATAGCCAATTGTATATTATTTATATTGTATGTATATATTTTAACTTTTAGATCATGTACTGTAATGGTGACTTCTAATAGTATTGATGTAAAGATGTCCATCTGAATACCGAAATATGTAATGGCATGAATATTTGAAATAAGAAAAAAATCTTAACCAGTCGCACTGGACGGAACTATTTAACTTTTTCGTAATATTAGTGTGACGGACCAGAATGAAACAAATAAAAAAAAAAAAGATTATTTCAGAGTTCGAATATTCGAGGTCACATGTTGTGTTCTAAATTTGAGTTTAGGTCCTATGAAACTTTCCCCTTGTGAACTTGACCGATGTGGTGTGCTCGCTTATCGCTGTATGCGCATGTTTTGCGTGTGTTTTCAGATGGCTACGTTTTCCCGGCTGGTTCCAATGTTATTTTTATACCACAAATGACTCACATGAATCCGGATTATTTTCCGGACCCGGAGAAGTTCGATCCAGATCGGTTTCTACCGGAAAACACTGTCAACAGACACCCATATTGTTACATCCCGTTCTCGGCAGGACCCAGGAATTGCATAGGTTGGTAGCACTTTCATACACTGCTGAAATTCACTCAAACAGATCGAGTACAGAAGGAAGGTTCTGTGAAGTACAGCAAACCCTCGTTATAAGGGGCCAGGACGTAATGGATTTCGGATACAACGGACATCTGGTTGTCTACAATTGTTATTTTCTTTTGGAGATGTTGAGGCATTGACAAATTTTCATAAATAGAAAACTATTTAAACTGTAGAAAAACGACAGTACTGTAGCCTGCCGCCTAAAAGCGGGAATGTCTTGAGTCAGGGTGGGCGTCCACTGCTATACAAGGGCTTGTTAAAAACAAGCTGGAATAGACCACTGCTGAGCAACGCTCGGTAAACACGGACTTAAAAGCCGGAATACTGAAATCGGAAAATAACAGAGACTCTCATTGCTGGGCAACGGCTCAATAAGTGTTGTTCCCGCAACAACCAGTATGCTAGAGATAAAATCAACGTGTTACTTAAAAATTAAAACACGTTCCCGCGGCAACGAATATACCATCTACCGATACACTAACACGGGAAACGAAACCTTTGAAGAAAGTGTCTTCTAGTCCGTCCGACTGTAGAAGATAAAGAGATCAGAGGAGACCAGAGCGGAGATCAGACCCGAGAATTGAGAACAGGTCAGAGAAGAGGAGAATAGAGCGGAGACAAGAACAGAGGGGAACGGAGCTGAGAGCAGAAGAAGCCAGCTCAGCTAAGAACCAGAAGACGACAGACCAGTCAGGTTGCATCGTTTGCAGGACGCTATTTCAGAGAGATTAAAACTGCAAGTTTAAACAACTTATCCAATAAACAGCTTCGCCTAATCCGGAGCCCATTAATTTCTTTTCGCGTTCCCAGGAGACGTGACAATATAAAAATCTTTATACTTCGAATAATCACATTGCTTGTTTCTGTGTTTATTGCGTGTATTGGATATATCATTTGCCGTCCTTCCATGGATAAACATTCACTCTGCTCTAACGGATATCTGAGATAACGGGCGCCCCACACAAGTCCACTATAACAAGGGTTTACTGCACTTAATGTTTAGCGCCGTAGGCATTCTGCAGTATGCTACTGTGGGTTTTGCTTACCTAAAAGTCGCAAGAAAACTCTCCATTCCTGTAGTGTTCATTGTATATGGCGAGACAAGCTAGAACTACAAATTAATTGTAACAAGTCTAGTACTTAGAGACATCTTTCAGCCTGTAAATATCATTAGTAAAACCAGTTTTCATGGTCCTGCTATATTATATTTGTCAGACATGACAACGAAGTTTTCCGCCGATGAAATGTTTGCAACTTCTGACATATTCTGTATATTTCATACAGAATTCACAGATATGCCTTTGATCTAGTTCCATGCAGAATTCCATGAACCTAGCTTCAGTTATTTTTTGTTATTTCCACCAGGCCTGAAATAAATATTATGACTTGTCTGCTGAAAGCCAGAATTTTGAAACCAGCAGACACGGCAGCTGCCAGGCAACGGCACTGAAAATATGCCCGTTGCTAGGTAACAGCTTCATAACATGCAACAATGTAGTAAACTGGAAGCGGTGTTCGTTACGGCGTAGAGTCTGCGCGTTTTGTGGCGATAAGCACGTGATTCAACAATAAAAACTATTGGGAGAGATGTTTTCGTGCGGTCAGTGCCCATGTTGCATAAGGAGTCAATTGTGTGTCACGCCGCACAACCTCTGCGACGATAACCATGAACGGCGAGTGGACGCTAGAGTTCAAGCTCTGCTCGAAACCGTAGACAACAAACCCCCTCAAAGGATCAGACCACGTGACGTACAAAAATTGATAAATTCCTTGACATTGAGAAAGGCCTGTGGAATTGACGGCATCCCAAATGAATGCCCGAGGCAACTTTCAAGGTTCATCTAACTCGTTTATTTAATCATTGTCTTCGGCTCTCTCACTTTCCAAATACTTGGAAGGAAGCAAAACTAATAACTTTACCCAAACCCGGTAAAGACCCGAAATTCCCGAAAAATCTACGTCCCATCTGACTCCTGTCCACGACAGGAAAACTATTCGAAAAAGCAATTTTGAAATTACTACAAAAACATATTGAAGAAAGAGGCTTGCTCAACGCAAGCCAGTTTGGTTTTCGTGCACATCACAGCACGACATTGCAATGTATGAGGCTGGCGGACCACGTGACCCTTAATTTCAACAATAAAATGTTTACGGCTGCAGTGTTCTTGGACATCGAAAAAGCCTTTGATACCACGTGGCACTCAGGCTTGCTGTATAAGTTATCAAAATTGGAATTCTCGAACAGTTTAACCAAACTTATTGGGTCCTTTCTTTCTCAACGTAAATTCAGGGTTTCGGTTGAAGACCAGATGTCAACCCCAAGGGAAATGCAAGCAGGGGTGCCACAAGGTTCAGTCCTTTCCCCTACCCTTTTCAATGTGTACATAAATGATGCCCCCCAAACACATGGTGTTCACATGGCACTCTTTGCGGACGACACCTGTCTGTATGCGACAGATCGCAAGGAAGGTTTTATTGTTAGAAAACTCTAGCGCGGTCTCAGCTCAATGGAGACCTGGTGTGAGCGCTGGAATATTAAAATTAATGAAGATAAGACTCAGGGGGTCTACTTCTCTCGTAGTCGTCGACCGCCTGAGTCTTGTCTCACTTTAAATGGGCGAAATATTCCATTTGTAAATAGTGCAAAATATCTAAGCGTAATCTTCGATAAGAGAGTCACATGGAGACTGCACATAGAAATGATCGAAGCCAAGACCTTCAAAACATTCATTAGGGTATATTCCCTATTCAAAAGTGAGCGATTGAGAGCTAACATTAAACTGACCCTCCACAAAGCTCTCATTAGATCCGTAATGACTTATGCTAGTCCCGCCTGGGAGTTTGCGGCAGACACCCATCTAGTGAAATTGCAGCGCCTACAAAACAAGGTTCTGCGCACCACTGGCAATTTTCCAAGACGCACACCGGTCCGCGATTTGCA